CTCCTGTGTGTTTGTGTGTTAGCAGCTCCGATTACCTCACACAGACACACACTGGAATTTTAAAAAAGTTTTGCCTTATGTTCAAACCGGAGTCAGACAATGATGGAGAGACTCAAGAAGAAGTGACAACATGTAGAATGCAACAGTACATTTCTGAATGGTTAGTTGATGAATTTATATGTCCTAATGTGGAGTTAACTATGTTCTAGTCATTGATTAGCATATTCTGTCATGATAATCTATAAACCGCATTCCCGGGGGCGGGGTTTATGTAAATTCCCATTTCCTTATAACAAAAAATAAATAAACCGTGAAAATGATCGTGCGTCCCTAGTTTTGATGTCTCCCCACAACCAGCAACAAAAAAAGCAACCAAACTTGAATTGCTCTTTCATGCCAACCTTACAAGCTTTCAACTGACTGCTGGTCCATGTTTAAATACACAGCACCACAACTGCTGCACTGTCTGCCGTTCTCAGCAGGGGAAAGTGAGAAAAGACTTGCGTGGAAACGTCTAGCAACTAATCAAAGCTTTTAAAGGCACTTAACCTCAGCTTTCCTCCGCCTCCGTGGTATTGTTCCAAGCAAGGCTCGGCTGATGAGTGCGGAGTAGAAAAGTGCCGCTGCGATCCTTGATTCCCCACGCTCCGTGCTTTAGCTGTGGGAGGACTCATCAAGACACGGCCTTGGCGAGAACCTCAACTCCCACTCAGCACTTCAATCATGCTGGAGTTCAATTCTCACAAAGATTATAGTTCTTTTAAAGACAAGCTTTAGTTATTTTACCTTCCAAACAATTTTTTTCTGGACGAAACAACAGACGAGCATGGAAAATGTTTCTTTTTACACTCAAGACTGAATTCACCTTTCATCGGCCAGAAAAAGAAATGCTTAGCCAGAACATCTCAAGGTGGTATCAGAATACGGGCGCAACAACAGCACTCAATGCTTGATTGGTCATTGGGTAGCAGTGGTTTCAAAGTGCTAACAATTAACAATAGAGTGCAACAGTCAGGTTCTGGAAGAACAAAAACTCACGTTCATTTTCTCCACAGGGAAATTGACAGTATAACTTATAAACCTTTAAAGACAGACCTAAGATGAGGACCGAGGTTGTTAATTGACGGTATACATTTTTGTTGAATCCATACGTTTGCATTATTTCAACTTACTCTTAAAATAACGGTTTAAAAGCTGAATTCCTGGTGAGAAACTACATTACCCATGATCCTCTACAGAAAATGTCACCAATCAGAGTTGCAGAGAGAGTTGCTCTATGCAAGGATTTTGATCGTGCCACTACAGTTTTGTACCACGGGTTTTTTTTTTTTGTCTGATTTATAAATACTTTTTCACCTTGTATCTAGTTGGCTTGGTTCATGGCTTATAACGCTTTAACAAAGACTTTTTAAAAATCCCTATGGGAAAAATGAATGGAAAAACGCCACTGAAAACATGGGCAGGCACTAATGCACTCTATTAACACTTGCATCATTCCACAGACAATGTTCCCTCTCCGCTGTCTTTTTTTGTTGAATAAATCTCAAGTTTCAAGTAGGCTTGCTACGATAGTCGGTGTTACCAGTGTTCAGAAGCAACACCGATTACATCTCTTGCAAAACTTTCAACCTTCCGCAACATGGATGTCTGACCACCGAGGCCTACAAATAAAACATTTTTTCAGACAGCCTGCAATTAAACATATGTGTTGTGTAGAGTAAAATCCAGGTGTTGGAGTGCTTAAACTGAAAAGAGGCATTCAGTGAAACCTGGAACTAATTTGAAGCTGAAATGCTCCTGTTCCTGCAAAACGGGGATCACAGATTCTAGACAGAAACAGGCTTCGGCTCTTTTTAATGAGGAGGGGTTTTTTTTGTCTGTGGCGATTTAGATTGCTGAATGGTCGGTCTTGGGAAGGAAGATGCAAGTCATTACGGATCCAGAACTAGACTACTAGAGAGCCCAGTGCTATCAGCTCATTACAGAGACCTAGACGTCTAATTGAGCCCGATCAGACAAAACACATCGAGCTGACAGCAGCACATAAAAGACTGAGAGGAGAGAACACGCTATATATGTCAGCGGACACACTAGTTTTAATCAAAAACAAGACCAAGTTCCCCAGGTGCTTCTATACCCATGAAGCTACGGACCAAATGATCCAATTAGCGTATTACTCTACTGTGTCTCACTCCTTTGATATAAGAAACTCCCACGAGCCCTTGATAGGGAGCTGATACACCACGTAACCAGAGGTCAATCCTTTCTTGAGTTTAAAGATTATTTGTATGAGGTTAATTGGGATCACACGGATAACTTCAATTAGTTTAGTTCTATCTCAGTCAAGGGAGCAAGGTAAAGTAAGTGACACAGATTTTGAGCATAGCGTTTTCTGAACTAAACTGTCTCAAGACCACTGACGTTGCCTAAATCCCAAGGAAGGACGGAAGCAAGAGGATGAAAGCAAATGCACTACAATAATATGATGAATTAATATTAGCAGAGTCAGTATTGTGCATGTAAACCTCTACAGTCTTTCTGAAAAAGTGGCTTTTAAGCTCACCAAAATATTTTAACATTAAAAAAGTTAGATGAATCTCTCATTTTAAGATGTAGGCCTATGTATGTATGTATGTATATATATATATATATATATATATATATATATATATATATATTACATATAAAGTAAAAAAAAAGAAGTCATTTCTTATTTTAAGATTTATATTTATGTATATTAAGTGTAACCAGAAAGACCACCAAAATCTGTTTACATTTTAAAAAGTTAGATAAATCTATACATACAAAATCCTTTTAAATTTTAAAAAGGTTGCTGTGAAATATATATATATATAAACACACACACACCCACGGCCGCATTAACAATAGGGCTAGGCGGGGCTAAAGCCCCGGGGCCCGAGCAAGGAGGGGGCCCGTGATTGGCTGTGGAGTAGATACTAGCCATCTGATTGCCAAAGCCTTACCACACAACGCCCCCCACAAATTAGCCCTGTTATTTAGTGGCGCTTTGCCGTATATACCATGCATTATCATGGAATCATTATCATTAATATTATGACCGTTCGCAAAGACCCGCCTTTTTTAGTTACTGTGTGACAAGCCAGGCGGCTCTCATGAGTCACGCACATCATGTTCTCACTCAAGCAGTGAAAAATACATTGCGGGGCAAAGACTAACGTTACACCGAGTGACTACGAGAGAGAGTTCAGAGCAGCTTACTGTTGATATGAAACAAAGTCTCAACTTTCAAATATTGTCATTTAACTAATAAACAACAGCCTACCGTTTTCAAGTTCAAGTCCAACGACGTTAATCTACTGACAGCTTTGTTGTCGGACAAAATTGCGTATTCGGCGTTATGATTGGCCAGTTCGCCTGTCAATCAAACCCCCGTGGGCAGCAGGGCATGGTGAATTGAAACGTCACGTTTTAATTTGATATACATTTATTCTTATTTAACTTGTGAACGATCTACCTGCTGCTGCACGTAGGCCTATCAGATGGCTGCCTGCGCCTTATTAGAATATACGCATCAACCAATCAATCGCATCCACTCTTCACTTCATTCTAGTCTATTCTTAAAACACATGCGTCATCATCGACCCCACAAATTTTCGGTAAGTTTGATTATTAACTTGATGGATGTATGATATTGCTTTTTGTGTTTGATCAAACTCTATTTTCGCCTAAATGGCCTAAAATATGTACATTTTCCTGCGCCATCATGATGTAAGTTTATAATTTAAACGCATTTTTAAGCATTGTGGTTTGGGTACAAATTATTTTAAACTGCTCAGGCACAGTAAGCAGCGGGAGAGAATTCATTTTGGTTTTGAGACCATGGTGAACTTGAGACGGTTTTGCACAGCGCACTTGAGTTCCGACCCTGAGGTCTTAAAGTGACAGTAGCTGCTAATAAAGCTGCTGTCGCCATTTGTGTCAATAATGTTAATCAAACATCAGAAAGAAAGTAATTTACTGCCCTTGACTGAATCACTTTTGTAAAATTAATAAGAATGAATGTTGAATTTATAGTGAAGACTATGTATTGTTTATTTGATTACTTTATACAATATAATATTATTCAGTGCTTTAAGTTTTTCAAGTAGGTCGATTTCTTATGTGCCTTTGTTCTATTGTTATTTGTGACTCTTGTCATCAGTAAGCTTTAGATTCTTTTCTTAAGCTACTATTATTTTTTGTGATATTGAAATTGGTCACAAGAATTATGAAATTTTAGTGGCATAAAATTTTGATATGATAAAAAATCTTATTAAAAGTAATATAACTTAACTGTGAAGTATATCATAGATGAATAAAATGACTTGTATAATGATGGAACATTTAGCTCATGTAGTTGGTGACCTAAAGTGGTGGTGGGGGGGCCCTGCAGTAACTCATAGCCCCGGGGCCCAGTGAGCTCTTAATGCGGCCCTGCACACACACACACACATATATATATATAAATATACATACATACACACACACACATATATATACACATATACATATATATATATAATTTTTTAAGAGAAAAAAAACCTGCAATATGTAAAATTTTATTTTCTTCTTCTTGACACGGCTTTGGTAGTTTCAATTTCATGAATCACCGGGGCTTTGCATATTCAGACCACTGAGTAACATGCATTCCCACTAATATCCCTACAATGGTCTAATTCACTAAGAGCTTTCCTTCTGCGTACTGTTTGCACACTGCAGCTTAAAACTTCATTGATCTCATTTAATTCATGCCAGTCCATCCCATGCAGCCTTAGCCAACCTGTCAAATTAGCCATCAACATGTGTGTCATTAGACTTTCGAAGTTATCCTAAAGTCAGTCAACACAACAGATGTCTACACTTGTTTATCTTTATATTACACATAAACTGAATGTCACCCATCAGCTACCAGAGCGGGTTAGCTAACACAAAACCAGGAACACTGAACAAAAACGTACGGTTTCACATAGAAAATGTACCTTTTACGAGCCGTTCGGTGGTGGATTGTTTATTCTGCTCCTTCCCCGACATCCTTCAGTGTTTCTCGGTGGAATAATTGTAATTCCTCCTTGTAGCTGAACCCAGCTAGTCGCGTTAGCCCGCTAGCTCGGCTAAGCTACTGACGTTTCAGTTCGCGAGGAAAGTCCTGACCGCTCCGCTATAAAAGCGGGGAAACGGAGTCAGCGCGCTCGTCCGGGTCGGCTTGTTGATATGTACACTCAAACAGTGGGGGAAAGGGGAAGGGGGAGCCCACTATAGCGGCAGAGTTTTATTTTCTGCCGTGTCTGTCCTTCGGGTTTGCTCACACAGGCGACCCAGCTGCTGTCAATTTCTCCGAGGGAGTAGCGATGTCCGATTCGTGAACGAATCGTTCGGTTGAGTCGGATCTTTTCAGGGAATCGTTTGAACCTGTTCATAAATCCTGTCTGAACCTGAACGGCTCGTTGTCGAATATGACTGAATCGGTTCTTGAGTCAACAATTCACCGACTCATCGACAGAACTGTCTCCCCTCTCCTGTTTAAATTGTTATGTATGTTTAAAATGTAATTTAAACTAAACATAGCCTAAATAACAAGACACAACAGACATGCTGCCAGAGTAACAAAAAGGAAATAACTTAAATAGCCTACACAAGGGCACAAAAGATGAATTTATGAATACAGTTTCTGTTGCTTTAGAATTAACAGAGCTTTAGATGGTTTCCTTATCAATTTTCAATAAAGAAAAGAGGGGTTTAGAGCCCCCAATTTTGTTTTATGTAGGCCTATGTGAAATTTTGCTAGCATGATAATGTTATGTAGCCTAATACATGTAATATTTCCCTTCTCTTTTGATTCAAACAATCCAAAGAAACATATTTAAAAGAGAAAGAAAAGTCTCTTACAAAATTAAATTGGATAAACAGTAAAAAAAAATTTTTTTTTAAATGACCACAATATCTGTGCGTGTAGGCTATAGCAAAAACAAGTGAATAACATTTTCCTCAGAAGAGTGACAGAAATAGCAATTATTAAGGCTTTAGTTGGGTAAACTTTATGAATCAATTTAAATGTTATTTATTTTACTTTATAAGCAGATACTCAGGACCATACTTTCCCTTAATATACAATGTAAGGAATTGTTACTACCTCTCTCTGGAAGAGAGCTCTGATATTACAGTTATTTTTTTGTTGCTCGAAAAGCATATGCTTCCAATCATTGTGTCAGTTAAGTTCAGAGAGATAGGCTACATGGCCATGGAAATGTAGAAACATGCAGCAATAAAGACAAGACAAAGAGGCAATGGCATGGAAAACAACAGCATAAGGAAATTGAGGAGTTTTAATGTTGAAAAGGACATTCTGACAGTGGTGTATAAATCACTTATCGAATCTGTGCTTACTTTCAACATTGTATCCTGGTTTAACTCTCTTTCTGTCAAATGTAAAAATAGACTGTTAAGGATTATAATTATGGCTGGTAAAATTATTGGTGAGAAACAAGTAACTCTGTCTGATCTTTACACTGCGGCAGTGAAAAGGAAAGCGTCTGTTATTGTGACAGACTCTACTCATCCCCTGCATAGTTCATTTAATGTACTTCCATCTGGTAGACGATATAAAGTACCTTTGGTGAAAAAGGCCAAGTATAAGAAGACTTTTATTCCGACTGCCATTGATATTTTAAATAGGAAATAGGGGAGGGGAGGGGAGGGGAGGGGAGGGGAGGAGGGGGGAGGCGTGTCTTAAATAGTGTGGTTGTCTTTTGTATTGTACTGTTTGTTGAGCCCTTGTCTAAAGACAATTTTCTACCCCCCTGTGGGGATAGACAATAAAGCTTTTTTGAATTTGAATTGAATTGAATAATTCATTAGCGGAATTTTGTATTTCTGTAATAAACAAACAAACAAACAAACAAACAAACAAACAAACAAACAAACAAACAAACAAACAAACAAACAAACAAACATCTAAATAGGCTTTAAACCTGCACTGTGACCAAAAATAGGCCCTACGGTGGCCGAGAGAGCTCAACGCGCTGCAACTGAAGAAAACAAATAGAAGAAAACACATGCAAATAGAAAAAACGCGTGCAAATTGAAAAAAACAAATGCAAATAAAATAAAACGCATGCAAATAGAAAAAAAACGCGTGCAAATAAAAAAAACACCCGCAAATTAAGAAAACATCTTCATCAGTTTCACAACACACGCGTGTGGAGCTCCAAATACTCACAACACAACCAAATAAAGAAACGCGCTGCAAATAACACAGAGCACAACGGAAATGTTTCCAGGGGAACCAAATAAGTGACGAACCCGGCTGGGACGTGCTGGCATAGATATCCATAAATCTATGCGTGCTGGTGCTTACAGCTTAAAATTATACTTTATTTATTTATTTATTTATTTATTTGTGCAAAACATACAGAGATTAATTTTTTTTATGACATACAACTTGTATACAATGTACAAAATGTATTAACAATATGTTCAATGTCATCAGAATACAAATGAGCAAAGAACAATGAGCTGGAAACTAAAATAAATAAATAAAAAAGATAAAGAAGAAAAACATGAAGGAAAGATATTTATCTTTAGATCAGTTACACTGTACAAATTGTTTCATGTTATTACATTTTCATAAAGAAAAGTTTCGTAAGAAATGTTAGGTATAGGGTCCAAAATTTTAAAGTTGAGACACACAGATATATAACGCATATTTTAAAAGCTTTTTTGTAAAATAAAAATAAAAATGTATTTGCATCCATTATGTTAACAGCATTATATTTCTGTCGTAAGACCAGCTGATGGACACCGTGCTGCGTTGTCATGGGAACATCCCAGGTGAAAATAATGAGGAAATTACGTTGTCTTTCGTTGCTCCCTTCATCAAGTGCGTTCCACACGGCTATAATGGCACACTAGAGCCCTGCTCACTCCACAGTCCCACTTTAAGGGCACTGCCGTCTGCCCTTCGAAGGGAGTAGGGCACAGAGACGCTCACGAGCAGTAAGCACGTCCCAGCCAGGTTCGTCACTTATTTGGTTCCCCTGGAAACATTTCCGTTGTGGTCTGTGTTATTTGCAGCACGTTTCTGTATTTGGTTGTGTTGTGAACTTTTGCAGCGCGTTTCTGTATTTGGAGCACACGTGTGTTGTGAAACTGATGAAGATGTTTTTTTATTTTATTTGCAGGTGTTTTTTTCTATTTGCACGCTTTTTTCTATTTGCATGTGTTTGCTTCAGTTGCAGCGCATTGAGCTGTCTCGGCCACCGTACCCCTACGCTTGTTTTGAACCAGTTGCAAAGAGGTGGTTTATTTTGTAGAGAATATCCTTATTGTTCCATAAGTAATACTGTATCTGAAAAATTGTATTTAGAGACCAAGCCAATAACATCTTATGGAAATTAGAAAATGTGATAGGGATCTTTGCAACATTATAATTACAAAATAGGAGAATATCCAGCCCACCAACTTATAAATATAATTAGGGATAATATTCCAAAGTGAAGAGGGCTTAGGAAATTCCCAAGCGTCTCCTTTAGACATGTCCGATTCACAATAAACAGAGAACTGATGAGTGAGTTAATCAAGTTGTCAATAGCATAACTGGCCCTATTCCTAATAAAATGTAGGCTACTGGGCAAATGTTTGTATTTTATCAACTTTTTTTTATTAATTTGGACACGTAAACATCCATTTATTAAAACTCGTAATAAAACTCGTAGTAATTATCAATATATGGTTACAAATGGCTTAATTTCAAGGTTAGACAGAATAGAAATGCCACGCCGGTGACGCAATTACGTCACGACGTAAAAGAATCGCTAAATTGGTTGCTGAACCGGTTCTTTAAAACGAGCTCTTCAAAAGAACCGATTCCAGAAAATGGCTCAGACTTCATAAGGGAAAGGAGGCGGGGGGACAATAAAAAGACTGTGCGCGAGATGTTGCCAATTTTTGTCAAGCGACCACAGTGGCCTGTAAATAATAAAGATGTATTCTGGTTTGGTTTGATTGTAACGCTCAAATTCCGTGCCTCACTGTTTTGTCTTTCTTCTTTCTTGTTTGATCCACTGAGTCGTCCTGACTCCCTTCTTGCGGATTAAACTCTAATCCACAGTGCAAACGGATTTCCTACAACATGGCGACTTGTGCTCAGCATACATATTTGTGGGTAGTGTAGTTTTTAAACATAGCCTACATGAAGCATACATGCATACAAGCATACATAGCATACATTTTATGCATCGCTATAAAATTATCCATACGTCTGGGATAATCCGATGATTTTTAATAGCCTGCACGAATAGCTGTTATACGCCAGTACAATTATAGAGAAACACATTGTGGAGGTTAGAATTATGAATGGAGATAATTCATGAACAGTAATCCAGCATTGTCACCCAGTGGTCAAATAGAGAAAAGTCAGATTGTTTCGTGGTTTATAAACCTGACTTGAACGATATATTATTTATGTAGGCTATGTAGCCTACTAGCCTAATTTTCACCAACTGGTCATAGCCACAGCAGATGTACACTGTAAAAAGTGAATATGGGTGTAAGTTGGATAACTAGAATTATTTGAGTCTATTTACTTCGTATTTCTGCTTTCCTAATCGTAATTGATTATTGTACACTCATTCAACTTGAACGCATAGAAATTCACAGACACTCAAATATCTCACTTTCACCCAAAGTATAATTTCCCTTTAAGGACCTCCGCGTCAGACGGTTTTTTTTTTCTGACGTCATGACGCACGAGCCTGACTGGAACTTCTGCTCAACCGCCATTTTCTTTTTCTCTCGCACTCGGATGAATAAGGTAGGTTGGAAGTTTGTTTTAATTAATATACTCGAATATGCAACTTTTGGACGTGTGTTTTAGTTGTTTATGAGTTAATTAATGTTGTTTGTGAACATGAATACTAACGCAATCGTAGGCCTACGATTGCGAAATAGCGTTAACGTTACTGAATATGTAACTTACACAGGATGTGGTATACTATTTACTCGTTTGTTTTATAAAAATGTGTTCATTTTGGATCTTGGAAGTATGTGTAATAAAATAATTTTAAAATTGATGCCTCCTTAACCGTCTGTGCCCGCGCGAGATATTGGAAATGCTTTGGGCGGGAAGTGCTCGGGGAGCGGGACTAAATGCTCGAATTTGAATTCCTGCAGTATAATATTGAGTTTGCTTTTAAAGTAATGTTTGTCTGTTCTTTTATTTGCCTTTGAAACGTTAGCTCTGATTTATTCATCGACTTTTTTTCGCCCAAAATGATGTTGAAAGTCTGTGATAAAAGTCATTGGGTGTGTCTCAATCAGCTCCCTAGTTCGGTAATCAGGGCACTGATCAGGGAGTCAGCACATTGACTGATTCCCTGATCAGTGCCCTGACTAAGTTACTGAACTAGGTAGCTGTGCTTAACGCTAGCTTCATTTGCCTAGCTCGAGGTGTTTCATCCGCCTAGCTCGAGGTGTTTCATGCAGAAAAAAAATGTCAGGGTTTTCTTTAGTAGAAAATTATGTTTTTTTTGTAGAAATAGTAGTATTTTCACAACTAATGAATTACTTGACCTGTAGCAAACCATTTTCTACCACTTAAGTTAAATACTACAACATTTTTCTCCCCTTAGGACCGAAAGCGTTTTACCTGTTTTACGACTGAGGACACACCTTGCTATAACGTTACATGGTAAGTCATTTCTATTAATTTAAGCAATTTCTAATTTCTTCTATAATTGATAATAGATTATATGAATTACTAATGTTGGATATGTTTGAATAAATTCCATCTAATGTTATTGACTTGCATTTTATCCTAATTAAGAATTTTCAAACTAAAATTGGCATTAACTCACCCTTATGACATCCCGAATGCATGTGCCTTTTTTTGATTTTCAGAAATATCTCTTTTGTTAGTTTATACAGTGTAAACCAATTTTGAAGCTCGAAATGATTATATGGCGTGACATGTATTGTGCATTTTTTCTTTTCCAGTTTAGCTTTCCAATAATATATCACCTTATAGTACTGCAAGAAAATACTGCACCTTAATAGAGAGCGTGATGGTGTTGCCAGGAACGTTTATATATTATACCGTATTTTCTGCACTATAAGGCGCACTTAAAAGCCTTTAATTTTCTCAAAAAAACGACAGTGCGCTTTATAATCCGGAGCGCCTTCTATATGGATGGAACACACGTTCACCAAGACGGGGAGACAGCGCCGGGCGACTTACGCCACTATCTGCCAATGGATCGTGGATGCCTGGGCTGATATATCAGTCTCAACTGTGATCCGAGCTTTCACGAAGGCAGGAATAATCTCTTTATTCAGCCAGCTCACATACCCGTATTTACTTCCGGTTGTTAAGAGGCTAAAAGCAGGTTTAAAACTTGTCCCGTTTAAGTCAACAGGGTGCAAATTTTAAAAAAGAGGATAACACGGTGTAGGCAACACTGGTTTTTGTCGTTGTTATCTGTACTGACTAGGCATGTGCCGGTATCAAATTTTCATGCTGCGATTAATTGATTGAGCTTTTATCACGGTATACGGTATTATCACGATATTTTAATTGCACAAGAGAAACAGATGGATTGGGGGTATCTAAAAAAACTTGCATCACAATGTGTAATTGTGATTGTCAAAACATTAATTTTATTTTTTAGTGACAACATGTTACAATGTT